AAATAATAATAAAAAAACACAAATTAACAACACAAACTGCACAAAAATAACTCACAGACCACTGAGTATACTGTTGTGTTCAAGCACATAAGAATACAAATTGTATTAACTACTATTTTTTTTTCTTTGCTCTGCAGAAAGCAAACTACCACAGCAGTGCAGGGTAAAGCACACAATAACCCAGCAAATAAAAAGAAAACAAAAAGATATTAACCATTAGCACAATTTACCCAGTAAACACAGAAATATACACCAACTATGGGTATAAGTCTATATGTGTGTGTATATACGCAATTATAAATATAAATTAATCTGTTATTATTATTATTTCTTTTCACTACAAAAAGCAGTTCATCATCATCACAGTGCAAGCCCAGATGCACACACACACAGAGTCTCCAAGAACACACATACACAATACCCCATGGCTCTAGTTTATATATTAAATTACTGCACAAACACACATATGTGTGTACTAGTAAGAGATGCATACCGTCAGTGAGCAGAACAGCCCAGTTTTCTGCAAACACACACAACGGAAAAAGCAAGTAATGGAATTATTAGAAAAAGAACACACACACATAAAAGTAAAAATAAAAGAAATTCCAATTAATAAGAGAAAGCTGGTAAACAGATTATTAATTTATTCACCCATGGGGGATGTACGCAATTATGATTATGTTAGTATTACCATTATTATTATTATTTGACCTCAGATGATTCCCACCGTTCAGTACATGGTAACGGAGAACAACACAGCCACAATCAGCAGCGGTGCTGCAGTGCGCATCCACACAGGACTGACACTGCTGTCAGCATTACCCTTCATCTGCATAGTGGGAGCGATCTTGCTGATCGGTGGGTCGGTTAGAGGAGATGGAGTGGTAGTGGGTGCTTCGCTGTTAATGTTGGTGGTGGTCGGCGAATCAGCATTGCCATTCTCTTGTGAGTCTGCTGTGGGAGATGTACCTGGAGCTGCAGTGAGTTCGTTACCGGAATTACCATCACTGGATACAGTGCTCTCCGTTGCTGGAGATGGTTGTTGCGCAGTAATACTATCATTGACATTACTCATATCTGTGGGTTTTGCAGACTCACCTGGTGAACTGGTTTGTGTGGAATCAATATCTCTAGGTGCTGTTAAGGCTGTTGTTGTAGATGTGGTTGTGAGTGTCTCTGAAGCCCCTGATGGCAATGCTTTCCCTATAGCTGGAGCACTCACTGGTGAAGATTCTTCTTTTTCTGCTTTAACATGTATTTGAGGTGCTTCTTTTGGCTTGGGTAACTCCAGTGTACTGTCAGGACTGAGAGAGTTCTGATCACCGTCACTGTCATGGTTAGAAGAAATATTAATCATATCACCCTTTTCATGAAGAGTTTCCTGATGTTTTACCTCTTCCGATCCTGAACCATGACCACCTAATGATTGCTGTCGTTGTTTATGTAGTTGGTTTTCTCCATCTCGGATACCACCGCTATTACGCATATCTGTATTTTCTGGTTTCGGATACTTACCAGGAAACCCTTCCCAACTACTCACGTAAATATCGTAGTTCTTCTCCGTATTTGACTGACCACCTTCAGCCATGGTATACCCGCAGGCGCAGCACAGCACAACGGCCAACACACACATCACACGGCGCATCATCATCATCATTGCTCTTCTTTTTCTTCTTGTTCTTGTTGTCTTTCTTGTCACTTGAGTTCACAG